TTGATCAATAAAAAACAATCAGCTTGAAGTTCGAGCAATTTCATCTTCAAATAATAAAATAAATATTGACTATTAATTCAATCTTTCTTAAGCAAACTCAATCAAATATACCCACTAATACTCTTGTTCACAATATCAAGAATACTTTTTCTAAGTCTCATAATACTTTTAAGTTTGAATTCAAGAACAACCTACTTTATTTAAAAGATGACATATATGTTCTAAGAAAAAAAAACATATTTACATATTCTTTAAGTTTGTCATGACTTTTCAATGGCGAAACATTTTAGATACAACAAGACTTCATAGCTAATATTTAAAGATTTTTTGAAGTTGCAAATGTGACAGGTTGTAAAAGACTATATACAATCATGTGATGTTTGTTCAAAGCCACAAGTTCCACATTATTGATCTTATAAACTTTTCCAATCATTGCTTATACCAAAACAACTATGGTCTTCTATTTCTATGAATTTTATTATAGATCTTTGAAGTTCAAGTTCATATGATTTTATATTCATGATAGTATATTATTTCACCAAAATTGCATATTTTGTATTATGTATAAAATCTATTTGAAATGAAGAAATAACTAATTTTTTTTCTTAAAATATCTATTACTATTATAGATTATCAAATGATATTAAATCAGATATAATATAATTTATATCAAGATTTTGGAGAATCCTTTTTAAGATATTGAAGATAGATATAACACTATCTTTGACCTTTTATCTTTAAAATGATAGATAAATAGAATAAGTGAATCAAGTTTTAGAGCAATATTTGAGGTATACCATCAATTATCATCAAGATGATTGCATAATTTTTTTTGCCATTGGCAGAGTTTACATACAATAATTTGATACATTCTTTTATTCAATAAATACTTTTTTATTATTAATTATGGTTATCATCTACGACTTGATACTTTAAACTTATCAAAAATTGATAATTTTATAATAAAATATTTGAAAAATTATTTGATAGAGTTACATATAATAATGAAGTTATAATTAAAAGAAGCTTAAGAATGGTAAAAGGTCAACATAGGTGCCTATTGCAAAAAACAACTATAATTCAACATAGGTAATAAATTATAATTTATTTGTTACGATATTAAGTTTATTTGTCTTTGTGATAAGATGGATTATTATAAGCTTAAACCTTTTCATATTTATGAATGAATCAATCCAATTGCTTATTAATTATATCTACCTAAGTAAATAAAAATCTATCTAGTATTTCATATGTCCCTTTTTAAGCCATAAAAGTTAATTAATATATCAAAAAGATAATAAGAGCAATCCCTTTTTATAAAAATAGATAATAATAAAGAATTTGAGGTCAAAAAAGTCTTAGACTCAAGGCAGCACTAAAATAAGTTAAAATATCTTGTTCATTGGAGCAAATATGATATTTATAAATACACATAGGAGCACATATTAAAGACAAGAACTAGATAAAAGCAAATAAATATGTGAGACTTTTCAAAGAAGTATGAAAAAATAAAAATAAAAAAGTATGTATATTAAAAAAAAATTAGAATGACTATTGTCAAAAGAAAAGAAAATTAAAGACTCTTGAAACTAGATTAGAAGGAAGAAAAGAGTTGATAAGAAAGAAGAAGGCTTCATTCTTACCTCTATATTTATTATCTATCTAAGAGCTATATATCAATGTTTTATAAGACCTTTAAAATATGTTGACTTAATACAATACGTATTTTAACTTACAAAGTAAGTTTTTTATATGGATGCCACATAATTAGCTTGTTTTATAAGCTACAAATATATGTGATAAGTGGTTAACTAGTTGATTAAGTTTCTAACCTATCAATCAATTATAAATATACATAAAGTCAAAATAGTATCTATAAAGTTTCTAAGAAGCTTTCTTAGAAGATATTATGAAATTAGTCTACTTTTATATACTTCTATCTATTCATATTATCTAAATAATATTATGAAATTAGTCTACTTTTATATACTTCTATCTATTCATATTATCTAAATAATAATTACAATAAAGATATGTCCATGATAGCTATCCAAAAATTTTACAAATATAATAAAGAATGTTGATATTTTTTATTGATGACATTCATCAAAATCAAGATGAAGTAGTAATTTTTTACTATAAAAGAATTATAATTTAGAAAAGATTACATTCAACCTCCTATTCCTATTTGTTGTTTCTTTGTATTTGTAGTACTAAAGAGACAAAAAATCAAGAACCAACACATTCAATTCATGAGCCATTGTTTAATGATTTATTAGATGAGACATTTTATTATTGCAATGTTCAAGATGCCACAATGTAGATAAAGACCTTCAAGAACAACATGTTCTTCCTTGATTATTGATGGAGAGATACAATGCATTTGATATTACAATGTTTGAAGAAACTCTTGATGTTTAGTGATTTTATTGAAGATAAGAATAATTCTATATAATATTATAAATATTTTATTTAAAAAAAGTTATAAAGACCTCAATAATAATTAAATAATAAGATAGTCTTTCTATCTTGAAATAATACATTATTAGTAGCTGAGAAGATCTATCAATTATCTTCAAAAAGAACAAAGATTAGAATATGTGACAAATACAATTTGTATCATCTTGAACTTCATCAACATATGATCACTGCTCAATATAGAACTTGTTCCTAAAAAAGGAAGTAATGTCATGAATATACTTATAATAATTGAGATAAGATGGATAAGTAAAAGTATATAAAAGTAGATTAATTTAGTAATATCTTGTGGAGAAGCTTTCTAGAAGATTTATAGATGTAGTTTCACTTTTATACATGTCTATAGGTGATTGATAGGTTAGAAACTTAGCCAATAAATTAGCTATGTATCATACATATTAACAGTTTGTGGTATAATCTAACAATGTGGCGCACATATAAAAAACTTGCCTTGCAAGTTAAAACATGTATCTTGAAAATTAGACATGTTTTCAAAGTCTTATAGAATATTGCTATATAACCTTAGAATAGAGAGTATATATAGAAATAAGAATAAAGCCTTCTTTACTCTTATTAATTCTTTTTATACTTCTAGTTTAGTTTTAAGAATCTCTAATTTTCTAGCCTTAAGCAATAGCCATTCTAATTTCTTATTAAATATATTTACTTTCTTATTTTTATTTTTTCATCTCTCTTTGATTCAATTCTCACTTATTTATGTATCTTCTTTGAATTCTTATCATTGACACATATTCTATACCATTCCAATTTATATGTAAGTAATCCATAATCTATATATATATATATATATATATACTTGATTCATTAAACCATAAATATAACTTTAAAACTTTTATATATAATATATATGCATAAAAAATATTTACATTAATCTTACTTGGAACTAAAATAAATTAATTTATATATATATATATATATATATATATATATACAACAATCAATCATTTAATCAAAGTTTATAATAATTTTAGAATTAACAAGTTTATATGGCTGATTTTGGTTTATATAACACCATTTAAAAACCGTCAATAATTTATTTTTTAAAAAAAAATTATATATATATATATAGAGAGAGAGAGAGAGAGAGAGAGAGAGAGAGATAGATAGATAGATATATCTTTCAATTTAGAATCTTTATAATGATATGATTTTTTAATGGATTCTAAATTTTAGTATAGAAATGCTATAAAAATAGTACATGTATTTGCTTGGTTAATACTTACATATATGTTAAAATCAAATTAATTGTCACAAACATACATATTTATTCAGATAAGAAATACTAGACAGTAGATAAAAATAAGTAGATTTGATATTACCTTGTAGCAAAGCTTCTTAAAAGCTTTATAGATGCTTATTTGACTGTATATATATATATATATATATATATATATATATTTATTTATTTATTTATAGTTGATTGATAGATTAAAGACTTGGCCAATAAATTAGCCATGTGTCATATTTGTAGATAGCTTGTAAGACAAGTTAATAATGTGGTGTATATATATATATATATATATATATAACTTTTTTATAAGTTAAGACACATGTCTTGTAAATTAGACATGTGTTAGACGTCCTATAAAATGTTGCAATATAGTTCTTAGTTAGATAGTATATATTGAGGCAAGAGTGAAGCTTTTTATATTCTTATCAATGCCTTTTTAGTCTTTAGTCTTATTTCAAGACTTTATAGTTTTTTTGTCTTTGACAATAGTCATTCTAGTTTAATATTATACTATATTTGAGTGATTTTTAAGTCTTTTTAAGTAACACAAGAATGTATTAATATTTTAGTCCTTTGAAATTCATGTCCTTGATATTACCTAATAAATTCTTAAAGTAAAATTTTAATAGAATTTGAATACTTTCTCACAAATCTCTAGACTCTCAGTAGTTATAACAAAAAACGTATTAAATATATAAAACATGACTAACTTCTTATGATGGAATATAGATTTTGATAAGAAATATGCTTGTAATATATTGAAAAATAATTATCAATATTCATAACCACACTTTAACAAATCATGTATATTGCACAAATTTATAACCACAAGATATTATTATTTTGGATCCCTATGATCTTCAACATTCTAATACTATTTTTTGATATCGTTTTCTTACATCCAAGTGTAACATAACAAGATTCTAAGTTCTAAAAAAAATCAAAATCTTTTTGAAAACGAATATTCCTCACAAGATAACGTACAAATAATGACTCTCCAAGACCACAGAATCGTCATTGAAAAATCCAAATCTAAGCTGAGGAATAACACCAAACATATATATAAAGGACTTCATATCAAAATTGACTCCACTGCACGTTGCAGTTCATCGTTAATCATGTACAGGCATAACCTGTGTCTTTTATTTTGTTTTGTTTTTTGTTTTCTTCAACTCTACGTTTCTTTTTTAAAAAATATTTAAAATATCAACTTTTTTCAAACTTGTGGAGCCATTTCAACCATCTACATAGCCAAAACAATTCACATGAATGAATCAAAATAAGTAGAGGCGCAGATCTTGTGATTCCAGTGGTAGTCAGAATGAGTTGCAGACGCACTCACCACCAAAACAATATCATTCACAATTCTGTGACTTCCGCCAACCAATTCTTTCCAACTTATTATCTACTACGAATACAAAACCTTTCATTGCACATGCTGCACACACACACACACATGTGTGTGTATCGTTATATATATAATCGAACCAAATTAGCTAGTTCAAGACTTGTTGAAGATGTAGTATTGATTTTTGTTTCGTCTATTTATGAGAAAGAAGAGTGCAAAACCTTTACCAATAGATAGACAATGTACATTATAGTAAAGGAGCCTGCCATACTTGAATATGATTGGATCTTTACATTACCTCTGATCGTATGGAACTTGAAGGTTGGATCGGAGAGGAGTGCTAAGCACACTATGTCTGCATTGTTGCCCTGAGGTACTTTTTCAAACGATGATGTCAGACCCAAGTATGGTGATAATTGAGGATCAAAGAGCGAACTAGGGCTTAGATTTTTTTTTACTAAAACGGCTGAGATGATGAAATGGGATGTAATCAAATAGCAGAAGGATCACCAATAAAGGGTAAAAGAAAGGAAAGAAAAGAAAAGAAAAGAAAAGACAAGGAAAGGAATAGAAAGAGGAAGGAGAAGAAGAAACCATAGTACTGCAATCACGGCGCAACAGCGAATCCGCCCAGAATGCATTTCAAGAGCCACTGCTGATCCAGCGCACACATGATTCATGACTCTGACCATCAAGGTCTGTTTCTTCCTCTCAAAAATCTTGAGAAAAGGAATTCTATTTATTTTGCAAGGATTGAATTTTCTAATTCACATAAAGTGAAATTGTATCAGCTCGCACGAGCAGCGTTGAGTGATGTGTGCTTTACTATACAACAGCAAATGTGATCGGAACACATGCAAGAAACTTGGAAAAGACCACAGAAAACAACACATTACATGAAGTTGTTTGAGATGCCACCGGAAAGCAGCTTCGGGAAGGGTTTTGGGATAGAAGTGAAGGACTTACTCGGATCACGAGGTAGTTCGAAGGTGGTATCACAAACTTTCCCTGAGGCCATGATTTTGAGAAGATATCGGGCACCCAACTAGTAATCCGCTTCGATATATCCGAAGAGAAGCTTACCGTGATGTCCTTGAAACCCTTGTTTGGCACAGTTAAACTGTATCCAACCCAAGCACCCGTTTTGCTTTCAATGTTAATTTTCCACATCGCGATTCGTTCAGGATCAGTGACGTTACTCACTTATGAACCTGTGAGATTAGAAACGAGAAAGGAATCTGTTCACATTGAGCCCAGATTCATCTCATAAATCGAGAATCAACTTATTTAATCACCACGGAATGTTGATGGATGACACGAATCTTTGACCTTCCAACAGCGAGCGCTTGGCTCTACTACTTCCCCCTCGTCATGATTCGGAAGTGCTTCATGACCGATGTTATTTACCTTTGCCTCTATCTACACATCACAAGAAAGAATTTGCAACACTACACTAAAAACAATTTCAGCCAAGTTTACTCCGGATTGGGTCGACTCGGTAAATGCTCGATGGAACAAAAGATCCTGAAAGTTATTGCTTTGATGTACATTAAAGTTGAGACTTACATGTTTACTTAAGTGAAGGAAGAGTGTTTGTGTTAATCAAGTGATGGAGATGCCGGAGTCAAAAGTTACGAAGCGTTCTGAATGCTCCTATCGAATGATGTCACAAGGCCGTTCCCATGCTTCACTTCAACCATTTCACCTTCGTATGCTGACTGTATACTGTAAGTCAATATGATCTGTATTTTATCAATTACCACCACTTCCTCCAAAACAAATTACACTCTTTAAGATGTGAACACATGCATCGCATAGCAAAATTATTAGACACCCATTCAAAATTATTGAATTTGTAGGATTAATCCATTACAAGAGCTTTCAATGAATATCGTGTCGTACTTGACACGCTGTCGCATGATCATCCTGGCCCATGTGATGCCTTTGGTTGTCATAGGACTTTCACGAAGATGCAAAACGCCCACATGAGTCGCCACGCTTTCATGAAAGCGCAAAAAATAATGGCCAATAACACGGCGAATGCAGATGCCGAATGGCATTCAGCAACACCATTCGGCATTCTGCATGCAGTTGAGCAGGGATTGCAGCCTCTTTCCTGCTCAACCCCATGATTCCATCAGATGGAAGCGTATCTACTTTACCTGGTCCAAACTCATATGCACAGCCCCGCTGCTCATACCCACACCTGCAAATGCACAACACTTACTTCAGTCAGCTTGTGATGAGGTCTTTCAATGAGCTCCTCTGGTACAGAAAGTAACATGCCTTGAACTGCGATTGAAAAGATCCAAGGATTAAAGCTGATGAAGTAATGTTACAAAGTCAACAGGAGCCTCCAGATTTCGACAAGCGCCAGGAAATGTATTCTATGCAGCACAGAGAATTAAAGCATACCTACAAGAGAAACATTAGATTGTGGTTGATAACCTTACCCGAAAACAAGTTCAACATCCACATATTGTAAGTGGTATGTCAAGGCCATACTGTCTTTGACACGAGCTCGCGTTTCTAAATTATCAGCATAAATCAGACCGTATTTACAGTAATCGTTGGACTGGAATTACACTGTTTGTCATCATGGTAGTCATTTGCTAAGGAACACAAAGCATCGTTGTAGAGAATAGTACGGTTGAAATTTACTGCGTCATAAAATCCATTCGGACCCTGTCATCTCAGTGTCAAAGCCAATTCAATCGAATGAAGCTGTTGAAACAAGCACCAACAATGCATCAACGAAGATCGATCTTATCCAATCTAGAATGACAACTTAGGGTTTGGATTGAGATTTGAGTGCAAACCAGTTTGATGCACTGGATAGTAGGTTTGAGTCAGCAATGTAGCCAAGTGAAGGAGCTTCCTGTATCAATGTCCAAGTAGAACGGTTTACGGTTCACTCCAACCTCAATTATCACGTAGAACAAGCTGGTGGTAAACATACCGTTAGAACCGTGGAGGAACCACGAGGAATGACCCAGTGGCTCCCCATAATTGTGGAAGTTGATTGTGTTTCAGAATAGTGCGCCCCCGTCTCACAAATTTATAAGCTGATGCATTTTGACCTAAAAATCTCTCATAGATTTTGAACTGGAAAGATTGGAGCCGAGGGTATCTAACAATCTCGGCCCAGTACCCCATGTGTACAAGAAGAGAGGATAAAGAGGGAAATGTAAAGATAAATTGCCCATCATTTCGTATTCCAGATCTTTTCTGACAATGTTGGGTTGTGGTGAACGCACCAATGTCGACTCTAAATGTACCTGCGGTAGCAACCCACTGCATAGATATCAGACTTGCTAGACAAGATTTTGAAAGTTGGAAATGAAGCAACGTGCGCCACATACGAATGATATTTGCAGAACTTAAAACAAATGGGTAGTTGTCACTCACATGCGAAGAAGGTCGGGAGGGGAGATCACGAGGATGAGCTCGCTCTCCTACCCGCTTCATCCCCCAATCTTCATTAAATTACATATCTCAAATTTCCAAGCCACAGGTAGAACTTTCAACCATGATAGTCCTTGCTAGTTTCCAGTGTTCGTTGGTTACCACATAGAATGAAGCAGCGCTGCCACCAAATTGCACGGGCAAGCAATATTAGGACCCATCAGTGGCACACACGGACGAAAAGAAACTCTACAACAATCCTTGCGGGAGCGAAAATTCAGCTTGCTTTAAGTCGAACTCTAAGTAATGACAAATCTTGGAAAGCATGAAGGAAGATGTGTGAATTACATAGTTTTTTGAAACCATAATCTTAACTGAAATAAAACCATTAATGTGTTCAAGAGATTTCCCAAGGATGATTAACCTAACATAATAGTCTACAAAGTTACGAAAAAAAACTATCAGCTACTGGTTGTTGTCCCAGGTACATTAACACAACCCTCTCAATCTCCTGATGCTGGAATAATCCCTGAACGGTGTAATTGCCCATAAAATTATATATTACTTGATTCTCGTAAGGGGGTTTGCTATTGTCGTAACATCCTGCAATACAATCAAAGTGCAGCATCCATTTTTACCAACAAATCCAATACAATTAGGATTTTAATTGTTGCTAACAACTCTTCACAAACAACGACATTGCAAGTGTGTAATCAAAACAGACTTGCTCTCCATTTGTTTTGTGGACAATAGGCAAGGACCTCCATGTCTCATCTGCTAACTGAAGTAGCTTCCAAGCACCACGACTCCAGATAACTAACAAGGAGAAACTCGTACATGATTCAAGGTCATATTGAATTTAAGCATTTCGGCCAGCTTGCTTGTAAAATTTATTTCGAAACAATTGCGACCAAGAAACAGCTTCAATGGAGAGAGAGAGACATTGCCTTGCTCACTAGGCGATTCTGAGACAAGAGTACGAAGGTATCAGTCTTGTAACGGTATATTTGTTGTAAGCGAATTTTTTTCAGCGGGATGCTCACCCTCACAGCTCTGCCAAATTTATTTGAACGACGAATCGGATACCCAATCGTCATGAAACTGCGGCACTCTAACTTCTGCAGCACATATATCACAGATCACCGAATTCGCCATATCTACCTCGCAAATTCATCGTTCTGGTAGCGGTCGTGCGATTCTTAGTTCGTGCTCGTTGAGACCCCCATTGCTAATGCTCGATACACTTGTTGTAAAACACCTCAACAAGGTATGTAGAGGATGAAAATATGGAATAGAGTCAAAGGTTTAATCCGGCACAACAACAAGCCAAAGATCCACGATACAAGACAAAGTTCCATGACAACCATAATTCGATGCGCTTCACATCCTCCAGGAATCGGACCGCCCCAAGGTTTAAATTAGGGTTCATTCAAAAGCATTCCGATTAACTACAGTAGTGTCATATCAAATGCCTAAAACAGGATCGGTAGAAGTGAAAGATGACAGTCGAGAAACTACAGCTGAAGACTGAAGTGAGAAAGACGCCCCTGAGCTAAGTCGCACACAAACTGCGCGAACTTCTGCAAAGCACAGCAACAACATCCTCAAATATACACCCTCCCAAACGAAGAGAAAAAAACACCATGAACCCACGTCAATCTACGAAACCTTGACGTGGGTTCACGTTAGTTTATCCTTTGGGGTTCTAATTTGGCTAAGTCTTAACTCATTGTTAGTCAGAAATTACACACGATGGATGCCTCGCTGGCTCCAGCTTCTGAATTGGCAAGAGAAATGGAGTTCCTAATCTCAACATTGAGACAAATCATAATTGGGAGGAGGAAAATGGGTGCGACTCCGATTAGAGTTACCAGCTACACATGGCTGTGACGATTGTGGCTGTGTCTGTTGGATGCCGCCTCGCAGGAATCCTCCAAATTGGCGGCTCGCAGAGCGCATCCTTCGGCACTGCTCCGCTCCGTGGCAGATCGGTCCGGATTTTCACTACGAGATGATTAAACTGATCCTTACTTGTGCATAAACCGATTGTTTTTTATGTTCTTTTATTTTACTTGCAACGACTTGCGACGCGCCGATGCTTTGAAATGCGAGAGTCGCTAGGACGGGGACACTCATGGTGCGAACTCCTTCCCATTCACGGCTATAAGCCTTTCTACGGTTTTGGGTAGAGGTACCTATTTCTGCTATACGGGTTGTTGCTAACTGTAGGAATTTTGATGGGAGGATATAAATTATGTTTTTGAAGTATTTTTAACCATGAATTTTTTTAAGGTATGAATTTAATAATTGAAAATAAAATGCTTCAGTATTTAGAGCTGCACTTATAAATTGTGATTTGATTTTATTTATTTATTTCTGAAGCTTCAAAATGGTAGATGAATTTGATTTTCAAGCCAAATAATCAATTAGAGTGCACAATTAATATTATGTTGTCATGATTATGCATCACCTTCTCGCATAATTAATTTGACTGATTGAATACTTGATGTAATCAATTGATGTTCAGATGAAAATGCATACACAAAAAAAAAAAAAAAAAAAAAGAAGATAGAATTTAACCCCAAATTTATTTGTTATCTTTGTTTCAAGATAGAGAGTATTGTATTTTTCTATGTGATTTTTTTTCATGCCCATCATATATATATATATATATATGAAAATTGTATTGCTTGTTATTCCACACTCATGATCAACTATAACATGCTAGTCCCAAACTAAAGGAAGGGTTCTAATGTTAATATCTATATAATAAGGAAGCTTAGGTACAAGACAAAGAGATGAAGTCAACTCATTGGCTAAAATCAAAGAAATTGTTAACCAATAGAAAACCCTACATAACTTGCAAAAAGACCTCCAATTTATTATCCATAAACAACTTTTCTATGCCCAATGGCATGAGTTTCTATAATATATATATAAAACATATATATATATATATATATATATATATAATTTATATATTTCTCTTTTATAAAACAGCTCAAGAAACTCAATACAAAATCCTCTTAGAATGGCTACATATCTCAGTGTTTTCAACAAGAGTGAAGCACAAATGAAACAATAACTCAACTTTTGATCAATCAAAGATTAAGATGTGCACGTTGTTGCTGCAAATTGCCAAGAGTTGCAATGCATGATCACTAGGCATGAAACTCTCAATATTTTTCATGGCCAACTGCACGGATCTCCACTAGTACAAAATCAGGAGGCAGTGATCAGGTGAAGAAACTGCATTGGTGGGTGAAAAAGTGGCAGGGCATGGAAGAGACGAAACCATGCAGGAAAACGATGGTTGGTGACCGGTTAGAATCACAGTTGCCAACACTCCATATCTGGTCTTGATCACACCCGACGTGGAAAATGCTGATTAATTGGTTGCTGGTTACTCATGCAGAGTAATAAATTCAACCTGATTCCCAAAGCTAACCCATTTCTTACCTCCTCCTAGTCAATCCTCTGGTTTTTGTTTTAATTTTTCAAAGAGAAAAAAGTGAGAAATGATTTAAAATGAATAATGACTTCAACTCTTACGGTCTATACTCAGTGCAAATGTAATTAGAATCGAGTTCGAGGACGTCCACAACAGAGAACAGTCACTATGCCAAATACCTCAGTGTATGAGAATAGTGTACAATCCATGATACATGGAACTCAACCGTACGCAGCCACACAATGACAGAAAATTGAAGTCACACGTAATGACAATAGGAGTTGAACCAATTCGCTGAAACTCATGTTCCCATTCGTATTCAACCACAGGAAAACAAATCTGATGTGGGCATTTACAGTAGCAACTTACACGGTTCAAGTACATGAGTCTCACACGAACAGGGCAAAATGTTTCTAACATCTATTGAGACAAAATTTACAAAGTAATAAATTTTACGAAATCACAGATCTTCGCGCACAATTCCACAACACCACGAGTTTTCGCATGCCTTCAAAATGAAAACTTCACCTCCGCAATTAAGAACAAATCACCAATGTAGTCATGATCGCACCAGCTCCCCATACCTACATCAGCATCAGAACTTCTACAGTGTATCCTGGAAAATCTACCCTTCAACCAGAGCTTTGGATGGGTCGAGTGAAAAAATTTCACCTTCAAAGAATGTTACCATAACCGCATCAGAAGACCATCAGCAAAATCCGTACTTGAATGTCGTCGACGAATATATATACATGGAACACGATCAGGAGGCGTGAGCAGCGGATCTCTTGAACACCACTAGTGACATTACCAACACAGAAAGCATCATAGTTGACCTGACTGTGCGTTCGAAAAAATCATCAGTCTCGGTTGACTGAAGTTGTTCTTCTGCGGTGTCGAAGATTCCCCGAATGAGCTCCTGCAAGGTAGCCATGAATTGAACGAATGCTTTCTTGGTATTCCAGAAAACGTGAGAAAATATGTTGGTATCCTTCTTCAGAGACACAGCCAACTCGTCAACAGTAACCTCACTCCCATTTTCTAGTAGACCTGCAGGTATGATTCAAATCGCAGCGATGACAAGTAAGAGACGAATAAAAATATTGTCAAGTCTAAACTATTGAAAATACCTTTGAAATAACAAACAAACACATGAATCACATACACTGTCCAAATGCAACGAGAAAAGTCGAAGTCCCTACCAGTGGCTTCCCGAAGCTTCTGCCTAAATTCTTTAATCTGGTCGTTAGCCAACACAGCATCCCACACTCCCTTGTCCGTGGCTAAAGAGACCACCATTTTCTGCATTACGCAAGAGTTGCAACATGTTCGAGAAATATCGCCTCGGTTACAGAAGAAATAATTTTAGAGATAATAAAATATAGCCTCACTACTCCGAAATCAGCGAAAAGTCGATCGACTTTTTTAAAAATATGTATTAAAAAATAACAATAAACTGCCAGAACATTATTCCCTAATGTATTAACTTTTCTTGCAATGTAAACAAGTCCTAAATTAATTGAAAATTGCGAGCTTTAGGGCCGTTCCCAGAGATTGCCCTTCAGTCATCACCATAGATTAATGAAAATTGTAGACATTTGGGAAAACTAATCCTTTTGATGAACAGTAAAATATAAAAGCCCTAGACTGTAAACTTTGATGATAGGGAGCAGAGTAAGTCAGTAGGGTACGCGTCGATTATACTCAACAAATTACTTAGACGTACTTCACATATACATATACAAACAGGGGGGAATTAAGCAACACACCTGAACCTGCGGGTTGTGCTGAAATTGATGAAAAGCTTCGAGCATTGCACTTTTCCCACCGTTTCCGGCAATTTCCTTGCCCCTCGAAGAAGAAGCCAATTCAAAAGAAGGTTCCACCCAGTCGTCTGAGACTGGATGTTCCACTTGATAGCCAATGTCCTCTCCATCTACATTCCCAATAGAGGACATGGTGACTTCCTTCACTTCACCACTGGATCCTGCGCTCGCAAGAGATGCCTCCAGCGGACTTGAACTCCTGCTCGTGAACAGTCCTCTGCCAGAGTACAAGCTTGTCAGACCACGAAACACGCAGCACACACTCCACGGCTGTACGAACCGAAAAGTTAGCGCATGTAGGAGACCGCTTGCTTCCATCGAAGTCCATGTCAAATGCGGACCTACAGAAAAGGCCTCAGCTCCATACCTTGTATATTCTCACTTGACCTATACAGATCCTAACATACTTGCCACGACTTTAAACAACAAATTTCAAGCACACCTCGACTAATTCTCCAAAAGGAAATAACAAAGAAAAGATACGATTCACACACTCCCAAAGCCAAACCCCTACTACAATCCAAGCAGCTTCTCATACGCTGGAGATGAGAACTCAAGAAGTATCGCAACACAAGAGACAAAAGGAGCCTACATCTTCAAAGCATGGTGGAGGTCGGAGGTTGCCTCCTCCACTTCTCGCTGCGTTGGCAAGGTTCCGAAAACCAAGTAGTCCCTCTCGTCATCTCCGGCGAACTCCCAATCTTCAACGTCAAAATACTGCTTCAAACCAGAGTTAGCTTGACTTCCAGGCGCATTAATGTCCGAAGGGCAATTGCAAGTAATGCGAGCGGAAGTAGGCGCCTTCAGGGCAGGCGTAGTCGTGCACATCCTGCACATGGCGGCATTGGTAGCAGCCGATGTAGGCCCCGATCCCACAACGCGGATGACGCTTCTCCACATGGCTCCTCCTCCCATTGCCCGTCTACAATACCAAAACCTCTCCTTCTAAGAGAGAGTATGTAGGGCAAGAAAAAACACAACGATCTCTCACCTTCTCTCTCGCTCTCTCGCTCTCAACGCAAACCAAACCTCTTCACACTCCTCCCTCAACAAATCCACCTCACCAATCGTCTCCCTTACACTCCAAGCCAAGACGAAACAAGCCAAGATGCGTTTCCAGTACTCTCAAGAGCCACAGCTCTGCACCGAATTCCCCGGAAGACATCCCCCACACGCCGGCAAATGGTGGGCTACGTCGAAATCCGCACCACGCCCTGTAGCCCACCACTCCAGCCTAATTCAGCAAAGCCTCTCCAAACTTGCGAACATCCCAAACAGTCTCCGCTAAAACCTTCTCTCTCTGCGCCAATCCACCTCCAAATCTACTCTGCCGCCCCCGTCTAACGAAGCCCTCCAACGAGACACACACACCAATGCGTCGATGCCTCCATGCGTCGATCCCCTGCACGCAATCGAAACGCTTCCTGAAAACAAGGCCAGTCTGGCTCCATTCATGGAGATGAACCCCAAAACGACAACCCGGTCGGTACGAAAGGTCCTACAGAAAAAAAACGCAACCCTCACCTGGTACCACCTTCCTCGCTCTTCCTCAACTGGTCAGTGCCTAAGATCTAAAACAATCCAAGTCCATTAGCTGATTTAAATCTACGTTTCGGACTTAAACATCTCTGATCGAAGTTTGACTGTAGATTATGATGATGCGAAATCTGCTGATATTCACGAAGCAGCAGGTCGCAGCAGCCGGGTCGGTACGTAGGTCTCTTTCGTGGATTTCAAATATTACCGCATTCGAATCCATGACTTTCGTTGAGTTTGAACCTATCCGAATCCGACGTGGACGCTGTGAACCCTGTGGATATTTTGAGGCCTCTGAATTACTTCGGATTAGGTGGCGGCCCGAGTGCGTTCAGCCGTTAGATCTAGGAGCTTGGACTACGGCTCAGATCTATTCCGATCTCTTCGTACACTTGAAGTTTGCATGCGTTTGCTAACGTGGCAAGAGTGTGGTCCTGGCCAACTTGGCTCGATGGATGAAAACAGATGGATGTGGATGAAACAATGCTTGGAAACCCGCCTACAATTATACTCTATCCCGGAAAATCAGAAATTTCATTTGTTTACTTTAATTGGAAAATAAAAGTTTCCATGTCAATTTTTATGATTGATGTACGAGCATTTTTTTATGGAGTAAGTGATGTGAGCTATACTCTTTTTGTCTTGTAAAATTAGAGGGAATATTCTTCAATAAGAAAATATCATATTCAATGCAAATTGTGTACACACGTACTTGTAGGTATAGTAAATATTTGTAGATTGACTTGGGATCCAAAATTTTAAATAAGTATTTAATAATTTCAACATTCAATATTTTTTTTAATATTTGAGATATGTTGTCCTGGAAATAATTAAATATCTATAATGAAATTTTCATTATTACTGTGGTATAACAAATCAATATGAACTAATACAATGTTTTCTGTTGTTTTGTTATCTTTTTGAATTAAATCTATAAGTTTTAATGAATTTGTTTCTGTATAAAATTGAGCAGTAGTAAAAGAAACAAGAGAAAAGAAAAACAAGTGAATCAAGAAACTAATTACAGATCTATTGAGGAATGTGCTCCATTCTTTATTTATATTTTATTATTTCTACAATAATGCATGCATATAAGTATACAAAGAAGTGATCTTACACACTACCCAATCTAAATGTTAACTTGTAAATAGATCATGAGAATTGTATTTCTATTTATTCTTTCAAGGATTTATGTTGGATAAATCATTCTCACATTAAAGAATAAATGTAAACATGTGAAAATTATGTTTTTAAAATAAAATTTATTCATATTAAGTTTCAGAAATGATAGCTTTATGAAAAAGAAAAAGAATAAGAAAGATAAAGAATCCTACGTGATTGTAATTATTATTATTATTATTATTATTTGAAAGTAACACTATGTAAATACAATGAATATATTTTAATTGCTGTTTGAGAAAATAAAATATTCATTCTAAACCGAATCTTAATTTTAAATATGATTAATTATAGTTAATAAAATATCTGGAATAAAATTAGCATGTATAAACAAGTGTGTATGTACCCAAGTGAATTTGAAATTTAAAATATAGCCATTGCATGAGTAGTTTCTTGTAAAAGCATCTAATATGATTTTTAACTTACAAAACTATTGGTTGTACAATTTTGTATTCATAAATAAATAGAAGACTAAAGCTATTATTATGCATTTTTGTGCATTTTATTTTTAAAAACTAGTTAATATTTATTTATTTATTTATTTATTTTATAAATAGGAAAATGTTAAAATGATCCACCCATTTACTAAATCAACTGACCCTATTCTAACTACCATTAGAAAATTGGATCATCTCTAAAAATCGTCATTATAGTCATGGCTCTCATCTCCATCCTTTGTTCCCAATCTATGCTCCTTCGACCCTTAACCTTCTTCATCTTTATCCCCATGTTCCCATTCTTTTGTTCCTAGCTCTCACCTCAACCCCCCTTGTTCCCTCCATGATAGGGTGGATCAATTTAGTAAATGGGTTTGTCATTTTAACATTTATCTATATTTATATAATGTATATTTTTAGAATTTATTTTATTACATGACTTACAAGTTCAATTAAAGTATACTAAACCATTTTAATAATCTATCAATCTTTTTGTTTTTTTGTTAGTTATAAATTATACATGTCATACATGTATATATAAATTATAGATTATAGATATATAAATTATAGATTATATATATATATATATATATATATAACCACATGATCATTGTTTCTACTTAAAACAACAGAAGAGAATGTGTATGTGAAAAAAGGGAGGAGAAAAATAAAAAATAAATCTTTATATTGTAATCTGAAAAAAAAAGCACCCACAATTGATAAAATTTTACCATTCAGATAAATAGAAACTCAAAGTTCATAGTAACAAAAAAATAGATAAAAGTAAAAAATTAATAAATAAGATATTATTACTTGTTTGTGAAAAGATTCAAACTCATCTATACATGAATTAATTACTATAAAAAGAAAAGAAAAAGGGAATTGTTAAATCAACCCATCCATCATTATAGTTGATTGAGTTCAAGAATTTGGGTGGGCCAATTTACCAAATGGGTGGGTTGATTTAACAATTTGCTGAAAAAAATATAAATAGAAACTAAAACTAAATCAAAAGCAAATACATTTTTGAACACTATGAACCAAAAAAAGAAAAGCAGTGGTAATTATGTAAGTAATTATGATTCATAAATACATTAAATAGTAATATATTATGAATGAAAAATGCCCATATTAATTTTTTTGTAATTGAACATATTTCAAGATTTGAAAAAAAGAATGCAATTTTAATTTTTTCTTGGCTTGGTTGTGAACCTTTGAGTACAAATAAAATGACAGCATTTAAAAAATTAATCATGTTTATAAATAACACTGTTATTACTTAGAATGCTGCTTATATTTTCAAGTATAAACTTGAATCTCAATGCTAAGAATTCGACGTTAAGCGCATTTAGATGTAATACTCCACGTCTGAGTACGACTTCACAGTAGAGAAGAAAAATTAAAGTACTAATAATGAAATAAAATGGAAAACAAATGCATAAGATATCGTTAGAAGAAAAAGTTTCCTCAAACCGTATTTCTTAAATTATTTATCTTTATTTTATTTTTTGATGTTACCTATCTTAAAAGCAAAAAAAGAATCCAAAATTGTTAGTTTTACACATGCAGTAGTGAAGTTTAAAGCACACACCTCGAACGTTTTAGATGAACTACTGTTCCAAACCGAATCCACGCACACGCCAATCAGTCATGCGAATGATGTACATCCACAACTCGACATCTATCATCCATCACTCGCCATCCCGCACTGATGGAGATGCGGCGGAGATCACGAGGCCGAAGCCCTTTTTCAATGCGGTCGCGGCGCCGACGATGGATCCTCGCCCAAATTCCAGAACTGCCTCCGCATCTGCTCGCCATTAAAAGCCCCGAATTCCCTTCCTCTCGATCCGACGAAGCACCGGTTCTTCTGAGCTTTGCGTGTTTGAAATCGCCCCCACAGTTTTGACATGGCTGGTGGAATGCAGCAAGCTTCGTGTGTGTGTGTGTGTGTGTGTGTGTAAAAGTACGTCAGTCAGTAAGTAATTAATGCAATGCGGCGGCAAACTTAAGCGCCAGGGCAAGGAGTGAGCCGTATGCGCCAGTCCGCCTTCTAGTGCTTTCCAACCTTCTTTCACGTAATCTCGCAGTCTTGCCTGCGAGTGATACTGCGGCAGTTTATTGTATACAGATTTTGTGGTTTTTAGCGGGTGTAGCATTGAGTAGTGAATGTTGTTGTGATGTTCGTTGTTTATTATTTGAGCTGTTTGCATTTTTAGTAGAGGTGCTATTATTTCTTGTGTATGATTAGATGCATGTTACTTTGACATTAACTTAGTTTGTAAATTAATTAGTTTGTAGTTGAGAACTTGTGTTTAAATTAAAATCTAAAAGTTGAGTGAAAGAGAAAAAAGAAGATTATAGCATTTTTGTGCAAGTTATTATTGATGTTTTATTTTGAACTATTTTTGTGGTTGTATTTTACTTGGATATTCACAATGATTGGATATATGGAGTAAGAAAAAAAGAAAATAAAATAAAATGAGGCATATGTATTTAATATTCTATTACAATTAGAATTCTGTTTTTGAGCTTATGAAAGTAAAAGATGTGTAGGTGTTAAGGATATGAATCACAAACAATAAATAAATTCAATATACTTTGACATCACTTAAAAAGAATAAATATGTATTCAAAAATAATATAATATTAAACATAGAATGGTTATTGCCAAAGACAAGAAGACTAAAAACATTTGAGACAAGACTAAAAACAAGAAAAACATTGACAAAATTAAAGAAAGTTTCATTCTTGCCCCCATATATACTATTTAATTAAGAGCTATGTAGCAATGTTTTATAGAGCCTCCAACATGTGTCCAACTTGTAAAATACATATCTAACTTAAAAGACAAGTTTCGTACATGTGCGCCATATGACCAACATATATTGCTTCTACATACTATCAAGGATATGAACATGATAAAGACAAATAAACAAGTCAAACTTCTTCCAAAGAAAGATGAAAAAATAGAAATAACTTGATATGTATATTAAGAAAGAAATTGGAATGGCTATTGCCAAAAGCCAAGAAAACTAGAGACCCTTGAAACTAGATTGGAAGCAAGAAAGGAGTTGACAAGAGTGAAGAAGGCTTCACTCTTGTCTTTATATATACTATCTAACTAAAGGCTACGTGGCGACGTTCTATAGGACCTCTAATATGTGTTGACTTTGTAGGACACATGCCTTGACTTACAAGGCAAGTTTTTCTACATGTGGGCTAAATAGTTAGCTTAGTCTTCAAGCTAACAACATGTATGGCACATGGCCAACTTGTTGACCACGTTT